CATCCCACCCCAGGGGAGGACATCCATCACACAGTAATCTCGTGCGTGGAAAATTAACGTCTCCTACCCCTAACCCTGCAGGAGACGGGACCTCCATTTATTCGTCCCTATCCGAGAAGACTTGAATATCTAAACCATTTTCTTGATGTTATAGAAAGGCAGCATATTCTTCTCAATTATTTTGACCTTGAGTGTTGGTCCGGCCGGGGCTCGAACCCTCGACCTCCCGCACATCAGTCCAGCGCTCTATCAATTGAGCTAACCGAGAGGCGGTGAAATAAATATTTAAATATTTAAAAATGACCATAGCTAACTGAAATATTTAAAATATTTAAGTTAGCTACGACTTCCTTTAATCCTGTTTATTGAACTTTTAAGGAGAGGGGAGGGAAGAGAAGGGAGTAGAGGAAGGAGATGTTAGCTTTCCCTCTCCTCCCTTTCCCTCCCCCCTCCCCTTGCGAGAGCCTGATCCTCAGGCTAATTGCTAGCTTGAACACGTGTTATAGCGGACTCGCAATCCTTCTTTGGCGAAAAGTAAATCGAAAGCGTCTTCATCTAAATCCTCTAAAGAATCTACTGGAAGTTCTTTAGAGGTTCCTAGTCACCAAAAACATACTGGAAAGATCCCAAAAGAATTGGGCGCCCAACCCGCTTCTCTACAAGATCATTTGGCGGCTTTCCTGTCGAAGAGACAGCTTTGAAGGATTCTATAATGAAAGGCATGAAACAGGGCTTTCAGGAAATTGCAGCAATGCTGAAATCAGCTCCACAAGGTTCAAAGCGTTATTTGCTGGACTCAGATAGTGAAAATTCGGACTCTGAGATCCAAGCACATGCTCAACGCACGAAGAAACACAAACCAGCTCGCCTCGTGTCGAGCGAGCAAAATGCACCGGGTACTTCAGAGATTGACGTAGACGCCGCAATTGACGCTATTCTAAATGAAAATAGTGACGAAAAATCACACGAAACGAAGCAAAAGGATGTCCTTGATGATATTCTCCAAGAGTTTGAGCTAGAGGAGAGTTTTGCACCACCTGTGATTATGCAAATTTTACATCGATTGTAAGCAAGTTGTCCAGGTCAAAGATGACCGATGACAAGCTCAAGGGAAAATTCAATAAACTTAATCGCCCAAATAATTGTGAGAAACTAATCACACCGAAGGTGAATGGTGAGATTTGGGCTAAAATTAGCTCTTCCACAAGAAGCAGGGATGTCAACACATAACATAACATAACATAACATAACATAACATTTATTCAGGAAGCTAGAACGCAAATGTAAAAAATACATCCTGAAAAGGGAAAATCGTGAGGTTAGCCCTGTATAAAAACAATTTCCCTTACTAAAAACATACAAAAGATAAAATTTAAAGGATACAGATTCAATAAAAATTCAATAAATATTCAAATAAATTTTAAGTCTACTCTTAAAAACAGACANTTATAAGAGAAAAATTTGCTGAATATTGGCGGTAATAGCGCTCCACAAGTTTCGTCCGCATAATTTGGTTTATTTGTTCAATCAGCAGTGATTGTAAGTCATTTCTTTCTTTAAAGAAAACTAAGGTAAATTGTTTATGACTATATTTTTTTAGTGATATGTAAGGTTAGGCTTATCAGTTCAATGTGATAGCTAAGTTTTCCATATGCTGTTGCAGTGATTCATAACATTGGGCATTGACAGGACCTGTCATTGCATAACTATGCCCACCATCCTCGTGTTGGTCAAACAGACATCCTCTGTGAAATGAATGGCCACAGTTGAGCCGAATTACTTCATGACTAAAATGTGTGTTAGCGGGACATGTATTTTGGTCACAAACCAACAGCCCATTGAAAGACACTGTTGGTCTACCATTCTATCTGGTGCTTGAAAATGATATGTCAGCAAAGCGAAAAAAGAAAAACATTGCCGGTTATTGTTTGGTTTTGATTTTCATGTTTAGTTGATTGAAAGTACTCAACAATTTTTTTTTACCATTAATTTTTGTAGTGTAAGCATTTTGGTCAGTGCATTTACTAACCTGATACTTTCTTCTTCCTTTAGGCAACTTTACCCAAGGGTGGCCCAAACTTAAAAAAAATAGGTCAATAAGAAATTCTGCAGCAGTGAAGACAAGCTGAGACATATTTTTGGTGCCTGGACCTCTTGAGTATTGTGGAAGAAACCACTCCACAAATTTGCAATTAAATCTTCTTCCACTCAAAGCATGCACCATCAGTTGGATTTTGGCCAGGGTTGCCCATACGCGAACATTTCTGAAATCAAAGATAAAAATACAAATTGTTATTTTTATTAGCAAAATTTTGTTCCCAACTGTAGTGTAAAAAAATAACTTCTCTTTTTTCATTTTTTTTTACATACACATCATGTCTGCTTCATTTTTCAAACAAACCTTCTCAAGATAGGAGGAAACACCTCAACCTTTTTTTTTGTGTAAAAACATTACCGTATTTCTTCACCTATAAGCCGAGCGATTTTTTCAGTTTTCGACCCAAAATTTTGGGAGATTTTTCACGGAGAACGGGGTTCGGCTTATAGCCGAGGGTTTTACATTTTAAAAATATACAGTTGCTGAATAACTTTACCCCCCCGGCTTGTAGTCAAGTTAGCAATGAAGCAGAAGTAATAAAACACAACAAAAATAACTTCTGAATATTGGTTATTCACTTTTATGAAATTGGTGGCTCCTAAAGGAGCCGTTTGACGGATACGTGCAAGGGCTTTCAACCCAATGGTTTACTCGCCATCCGTTTCGTTTTCGCTGTCTGTGTCGAACTCGTTCTCTTCTATGTATTCATCATCTACTTCTGGGGTTTCCTCAGAGTAGACCACGTCGTCCTCTGTTCCGTCCAAGGCATTGGAAATACCGCAGGTCTTGAAGGATTTGACAACCATCTCTTCGGGTATCTCTGCCCATGCTTCCTTGATCCACCTGAGGACAAGATTTCTGCTTGGCGCCTTCTTCTTCCCAGCTGGGGTAAACTCAAATGGCCCAGATGTCATCCACGCCAAGTACTTTCGGCGCACATTATCTTTAAATGGCTTGTTTAGGCACTTATCCAAGGGCTGTACAACCGGGGTTAGGCCACCAGGGATAACTGCGACGTCAATGTTTCGCTGCTTCAGGTCATCTTTCACGGAATCGGTCAAGTGAGCTCGGAATGAGTCCCACACCAAAAGGGAACGCTCGGCACGGGGCAAACTCTGTCGAATCCATTCTCGGATGCCCTGTTCATCCATCCACCCTTTCTTATGGAAGGAAACACGAAGAGGATGCGGCACAACCAGATCTCTCGGTGTACGGACGCCTTTGAAGATGACTTTCGGTGGCACCTTTGCTCCATCGGCAGCAACAGCAAGAACGACGGTGAAGCTCCGCTTTTCCGCTCCGCAAGATTTTACTGGCACTGTTCGGCTTCCACTGAATTCCAGTGTTCGGTTCGATGGCAGCTCAAAACGCATGGGTGTCTCATCCATGTTGTAGATGCGGGATAAAGGGTAGTCGGCGCGTCTTCTTGCTGCAATGACGAAGCGATGAAAGCACACAATGTTCTCTTCGAGATCGGCGGGCAATCGCTGGGCCAGAGTTGTTTTGGTTCGCATGCTGACCGAGTGGCGTCGTTTCCATTTCTCGTACCATCCACGGGAAGCTTTGAAAGCAGGATCATCGGAGAGCTCTTTAGCTTTAAGGCGAAGGATCAATCCACTCACCGCAATACCTACGAAAAATAAAATAACAATCTTATTTTGCTGCGAGATAACCGTAGATTCGTGACTGCAGCACTCTTTTCGTGACATGTTATGAAATTGTCATGACAACAACATATTTCTGACCAATCAAAGTCTCTGTTTCCCACGCACTGAAAGACGATATCATTCAACTCTTCAAAAACTCTTAAAATTTTAGACAGAAAAGTAAATACCAACCTTGTTCTCTTTGCTGTGAAAACCACTCCATCACTTGCTGGTCTAGTTCGGGATATTTCGGAGTGAAACGGCCCATCGTCGCACGTTTTGCAGACATCTTCAGCTCTCCGGAAAGAATAGTCGCCTGGTCTCTTCTCCAGCGTCGTACCATGGACTCGCTTAGTCCATATTCTCGAGCGATTTCCGAGTTGTTTTCTACCGCTTCAGCTTCCGCGATAACTTTTATCTTGAAAGCCATACTATACGAGGAACGGCGTGCTTTAGGCATGATGATAAAAAGTGACAGCGACGAAAGGTATACTCGATAGATTGATACTTTGAAACGTTTAACTGAGATTATTATTGTTGTTGTGGTTAATCTGTTGTCGCGTGGTAGTATTTATACAGTTCGTTGGATCAATTGATATTCATATCTCTTGATTGGTTCGCTTTTTTTCTTTTGTGTTTATTGTAATTCATTAGGTTTTGTGTTTAGTGAGTCAATTTCTTATGTTTTCCGTGAGGTTCGCTTGCTCAAATGGCCAGTTACAATCAATAATTTCGCTCTCGGCTTATAGCCGATGGTTTTACCTTTTTTTTTGGGCAGCTTGAGTGTAGCGTAAAGACCCTGAAAGTCAGGGTCTCGGCTTATAGCCGAGATCGGCTTATAGGTGAAGAAATACGGTACATATAAAAATTTAATTTAAAAT